ATCCAGGAAAGATAGGGACCAGTTTCCTACCGGGCAGCCACTGTGTGGGGCCTGGAATCAGAATCACAAAGACCAAGGAAGCAACTTCCAGTTGCTGCTACTAGGTGGGTGGGAGGTATTGTTCTGGACGAAGGGCCAGTACCTGTGGGTATTTCTGCTGCCCTGGCTGTCTGTCTACCTGTGTCACGGGCACCTACCCTCAACCTCCATTGAACTATCAGAGTCCAGGCCTTGGCCGTGAGGGAGAGAGTGCAGTGGGAGGGGGGCTGTAAAAAATGTAAATGGTGTGGTGTGGAGCTCGGCTCCAGCTGTCTGGCGCTCACTGAAGCTGGCAGGAGCTGGAGGAAGGAGCCCCAGACCCTGGGCGCCTTTTGTCCCAGCGCTTGGCTTTGTAAAAGGTGGGGGAAGGGGCAAGAATCTGTGGAACTTGTCCTTTCATTGGAGCCCCTGCTGCCAGCAGGTGTGAGAAAGGGGGAGAGAGTTGCGGACTTCGGCCAGGAAAGTTTAGAAATGGGAATTGCAACTCAGCGTGCAGTTTTGTTTGACAAACAAATTCCTTGGGTTCCAGCCTCTAAAGCTGTGAACCTTCAGGGCAGCCAGACCCCATTCTGCTTAGAAGGTGGCTGTGAACTGGTTCCCCGCCCCCCAAAGCCCTTCTGAATGCCCATCTCTGCTGGCTCCTAATCCCTGCTTTCCACACTCTGCCAAAGCACGCTGCTTCCCCAGGCCTGCTACCAAGGTCGATTGATTTTCTGAGGTTTCTGTCTGCTTGTTCTTATGTTTGGTTCCAGTCCTCTTTGGCTGCTTGGGGTTCACAGCATCCAGGGTCTTCTCCAAAGAACCATATTCAAGCAGTAGATGTTGTTGCTTGGGCTGAAGTCCTAGAAAAACCAGTGTGGGGAGAGGAAGTACTTGGAACCATGCAGACCTGGGTTCCAACCCTGCTCTGCTCTTCCCAGATGAGTGAATTCCAACCGTGTTACTAACTTTTCTGAGCCACAGTTTTCTGTAGGTAAAATGGGAATTTTTCCTACTTCTCAAGTTTTGTACAGATGATATGCTGAGCTAATGTTTGGAAAGCTCTTAGCAGAATGCCTGGCACAAATAGGTGCTCAGGAGATATTAGGCTACTCCCCTTAATAAGCATAGGAAAATAAAGCAGGAACTCCCTGCAGTGTTGCTAGATTAATCTGTTTTGCATATGTTTATTGGCCATTAGTATTTTTTATGTGATTTGCCTGTTTATAGCTGTCATCCATTTTTCTTTTAGTTTAGTTTTGTTTTGTTTTTGTCTTTGGTTTTATGATTGGCAGGACATCTTTATACATTCTGGAATTCCTTGTTATACAACTTGCAAATGTTTTCTCTTGGTCTGTCTCTTGCTTTTGGCTTTTGGTATCTTTCAACAGACATCTTGTCTTTTTCTTTCTACACAGTGTATACCCAAATCTGCCCAAAGAGGCTGGTTCTGTATAAGCTGATTTACTTGGAGGTTTGGGGGGGCCTCAAAGACTTTCCCTTGGACCAGGGCTTTCTTAGGCCCTCTACTGTTCTCTAAATAAAAGGGAGAATCCACAGCTGATCCCGTTTGGCCAGATCCTGGAGTATCCCAGTTCTACCCAAAATGTGTGCGCGCACACACACGCCCTACTGGCTTCTGCAAGAATCACATCCTTCTTTTACTGGTTTGCTGATCTGGGGAAACTCCAAGACCTGGCTAAGAAATGAGCAGCTGAATGAGAATTTGGATGTCCTCCATTAACCTTCTCTTTGGGGTCCAGGACTGACTCACGCTCTCTATACCTCACCAGCCCAGCCAGCTACCCAGATTCACATTAACTGACCATTTAAGTTATGCATTTCTGAGAAGCTGTACATAAATCTAATTTGATGGATTATATTTTCATGCTCTAGGAGAGAAAGAAATTAAAATAAATGCTATGAATTCTACTAGCTCATTTATTGGGCACTTAGCATGTGCCATTTGATGGTGAAGCACTTTATGATGAAGATCTTATTTAATCCTCATGACAATCAGCAAAGCTCAAATTTCTCCACTTTATAGATAAGGAGTGTAGCTCCAAGGAGTTATGAAGTATCTGGGCCAAGGTCATCCAGCTGGAAGGCTGACAGATTGAGCAAATAAACATACAGCACCCCAGTTAAACTTGAATTTCATAAAAAGAGTAATTTTTAGTATAGTGTATCTCAAATATTGCATGTAATATTTTATCTGGCATCCCTACCCAGGGAAATGTGGATTAGAATCCAAGTGTTCTGATTCCCCCGGCCTTCTAGTGGTAAGACCATGGAGTCCTTGCACGGAATTCTTTGGAAAGGGAAGAAACTTCTTGTACTAACTTAGATTTCTGAGGTTGGAGGCTTCTTAACAAGAACCCTCACCCTCTAACCCCCACTCCTCAAGGATTCCTTTGCACTCTGAATTTTGAGAGCAATTTTGTATGTATCCAGCTTGTAAATTTAGATATCCCTATCCAGCTGTCTTGTGGCTTCCAATATTCCTAGTAACTCTTTGCATTCATTCAATTATCCATCCATTTAACCCCTTGACAAATATTTATTATTTGAAGGCCTGTCCTGCCAGGGATAGAAAGATGAGTGAGACACGCCTTCTGCCTGTGCGGAGCAGGAGGCTGACAAGGACAGGCCCGTTACCATGGCTGTGGGTTGGACAGCAGCGTAATAGAGACCGTGATAGAGGTTTGCTCTGGAAGAGAGGGGGCGGGGGTGGGAGCAGTCAGATACAAATTCTAGGAGATTAGCTTCAGCTGAGTCTTATAGAGTCCATAATTTTGTTTTCCTCTGAAGGGAGGGACAAATGATAATATATAAATTTAGCTGGTAGTTACAATTTGCAATGAGATGGATTCAGATGAAGAAGAAAGTGAGAGCACGGGCTCCAGAGCCAGGCGTCCCAGTTACATCCACGTTCCCCCACTCACTAGCCATATGACCATGGCTGTGTAACCAACTGATCCTCTCCACGCCTCAATTTTGTCTTCTGTTAAATGAGAATAACTATTATCTACCTTATTGGTTTGGTGCACAGGTTAAATTAAATAATCCATATAAAATGCCTAATGTAGCTCCTGAGATGTATTATGTATGCAATGGAAGTACACAACAGATCTTCCCTTCAGCCTACAAATGTGCTGTAATATCTTTCCATCCTTGACCCCATAGCCTCCTCTAATTCCTGGCAGATTATCTGTTTCCCACTCCCCCAACAAAGAATTATCAGGCCCCAAAAGTCAATAGTGCCAAGGCTGAGAAACCCTGCTACATGGTACCTTTGTCACGGCACTTCATAAAGACAATTGTAATTGTCAGCTAGTTGGCCTTCTCAGCTAGACAGCCAACACCGTGAAGACAGGTGATACAGGTGTCTTGTTGAGTGTTTGGCGCACAACTGACAATAAGAACTGAAGGAAGATGAGAAGGTACATCCAGATTCAAACTTAGGGACCTGTGAGATCTTGCTGCTTGTTTTCTTGAACCATTTCCCACCTCCCTTTGAGTACTGTAATCAGTCAGTTGATAAGCATTTCATTCTTTAACATTTACCAAATATTTATTAAGCACTTACTATATAATAGCAGTATTCTAACGTCAATTGATGGTCCTTGGCACCAATTCAATGCCAAAAGGAATCCCCAATTCGGAGTGTGGTGAAATAGCTGACTTTATTCAGTGCAAACAACATGACAGCATGGCTGTGGAACAGCTCAGTAGTGTTACAGTTCAATTATGAAACACCTCTGCAATGTTGCAGCTCTGCTAAGGTCTGCTCTGGTCTGCTCTGGTTCCATGATGTTTCAGCTCCAGCCCTGCGGACTTATTTATATAGAGAGAAGTCCCTGCCCCTGCAAATGAGGATTCCAAATCCTCATCGTTTGATTGGTCCAAAAAGCACTGTCTTGATTTGTTGGAATGGAGCTGCTCTGATTAGTCAGTGGAGATGCTAATAAGGATATAGCTGCACAGCTCTGATTGAAATACAATTAAAGGAACTACTTTATAAGAGAAGGCTCATTTAGCAGGAACACAGTGCAGACCAGCAGTTCTGTGCAAGTGTTAGGCAGTTTAGTGCAGGCTTCTTCCTCAAGTGTGGCTTGCATTGAGAAGCCCCTGTTTAGCAACGGCTGCTAGGCATTGATTTTTCTTGTGGCTTTGCGTGCGTGTTTAATTTTTTAGCCCAATGATCCACCAAGAGCCCTTCTTGGTAAGTATTTTCTTTCTTGGGGGTCGACACTAGGTACTAGGAATACAGCAATGAATAACCCATAGTCAAACTTCACTCAAATTACGTTTATTTTTATAGAGGAAGACAAACAATAAGCAAGGAAACAAGATAATTTCAGTGATAAATATTATCAAGAAAATAAAAGTGTACTGTAATAGGGAATGATGGAGCTCGACAACATATTCTAGGTAGGGTGAGCAGATGACTACTGCACTAGTGAGAGAGCCAGTCGGGCCTGGAGGAAGAGTGATCCAGGGATAGACAACTGCAATTGCAAAGACCATGAGTGGAAACAGTGGCCGCCCATTTAATGCAGACCAAGGGGAGGACCAGATCACACGACATGAAAACGTTTGAATTTCATTCTAACTGCAATCAGAAATATGATTTATGTTGTTGAAAGATCACTACGGCTTCTTTGGGAGAATGTATGAAATATATACTTTATTCAGAGTCTAAAGTACTTGTCATAAAATACTTAAGCCATATTTCTCGCCTACCTCTGGTCAAAGGGTAAACCTCCACCATCCAGAAGGGGGCGCTCTAGGCGCCGGGTGGACAGAATGTAATGCTCAGCACTCTTTGGTTCTTTCAGAGAAATCGACCGCTTCCGGGAGCGGCCGCCTTGCCCAGAGCCTTCCTCTCTACCCGCCCGTATCTATGGTCGTCGACGCCCCGCCCCGCTCCCGCGGGCTGCGAGCTCCTCCCACTCCGCCCGAGCCGACTCCGGGGCAGCCGGGCTCCGGGGTTGGTCCGCTTCTGGGTCATGGCGATGAGGGGGCTCGCGCCCAGGGCTGGCGCCAGGTGAGCGGCGCGGCTGGGGAGGAGGGTCGGGCCTCGGGGCGTCCTGCTCTGGGCTGTGGGGAGGGGGCTCCGCTCAATTCCGCTCTCCTCGCGGCGCTTGAGGAGCCGCCGCCCGGGCGACAGAGGGGCTTCGTTCGGAAAGGGCGCCCGCCCTCCGCTCCGATCCGAAGCCGCCCTCCAGCTTCGCGGGAACTTCTGCCCTGTCCTGCGCCCGGGGACCCTCCTCCTCGGAGCTGCCACTTTCCTCCTTCCCTGCCTTTTTTTCACCCCAAGAGCCCAGAGTTGAGTTGCTCGTCCTGCTCAGTTCTTGGCGCGCTGCGCTGTGGCCCACTGTCCTCGTGTCTTATCATCCCTCCCGTAGTCTCACCCATTTCCCTCCCCTTCTCAGACGTACACTCTGGTGTATTTTAGAAGAGTGTCCACCTTATGTAAGTTTGCGTATGTGTTACCTTGAAAAATAGTGATTTTGAATTCATATAAATGATAATATGCTTTGATTTTTTGAAAACTTTTTTTACCCAATATTGTGTTTTTGAGGTCATATGTGCTGTGGTAACCTAGTTTTCACCCCTGAGTATACCCTGTGTGCATTAGATCCCATTTTACTTATGCATTCCCCTAGTGATGGACACTTATATTGCTTCCAATTTTTAAAAAATTGATTTTAGAGAGAGAGGGAGGGATAGAGAGAGAGAAAAAATCATCGATTTGTTCCACTTATTTATGCATTCATTGGTTGCTTCTTGTATGTGCCCAGATCAGGGATCAAACCCACAACCTTGGCATATCTGGACGCTCTTCTAACCAACTGAGCTACCCGGCCAGGGTCTGCTTCCAGTTTTTAACCACCACAAACCATACTGGCACTTGTCTCTTTGTGTGATTTTTCTCTAAATTATCCACGCCAGGGTAGGCTGCTAGATCATACCTATTGTGCTAAATTGTTCTCTTTAATGGTCACACCAGGTTATGCTTCCCGATGGCATTGAGTAAAGGTCCCTGTTTCCCCATATTCCCCATCCCCAAGCCCCCAATGTTTGATACTGTTTGCTTTTCTAATGTTTATCCAGTGTAAGGTGTTATCCCACTGTGTTAACTTTCATGTATTAAGCATTTGGGTTTCCCTTTTTCTGAATTGCCTACATCTTTTTTCCATTTTTCTATGGATTTCCTGTTTTTCTAACTTGCAGGAATTCCTCGTATGCCCTGGATTTTAATTACTTGTTGGTTTTACACTGTGCAAATACCTTCTCCAATTCTTTAACTTAATCTATGGCATTGTATTGAACAAAAATGTTTAATTCTAAGTTAAATCCATTTGTTTTCCCCTTTATAGTTTGTGGTTTTGGAGTCTTATTTAAGAATTGCCTTCCTACTATATCTTCATTAAGATAGTCTACATTTCCTTATATTAACTAAATGCTAACGTTACTTTTCACATTTAGATTTTTAGTCCATTTGGAGTTTTTAAAGTTTATTTTTGTAAATGATTTGAGGCAATGACCTAAATTTTCCGCACCATTTTCAACTAATAAGTAATGAATTAAGAATAAAAATTAGAGTAGCTGTGTAACATAGTTAAGAGCACAGATTCTTGGAGCCAGGCTGCCTGTGTTCAAACCCTAAGGCTGCCGCTTACCAGCTGGGTGACAGGGGAAGTTACTTAACCTCTTTTGCCTCAGGTCCTCATCCGTAAAATACGACAGTCTCCATCTTTTAGGGTTGTGACAATGAAATGAATTTATAGATGTAAAATGTGTAGAACAGTACTGGGCACATAGTACATGTTTAGTAAGTGTTGGCAACTATTAATATGAACATCCTTTCTTGTACTGTAACCTCTATGATGAGCCTGTGTAAACATAGGTCTATTTTTTATTTTTTAGTCTCTCTCCCATTGCTTTTTTTCCCCCCCATTGCTTTTTTTGTCCCTGTATTAATAACACTTTGTTATTACTCCAGCCCTGTAATATATGATATGTCGTAATAAACTGATGATTTGGGCCTTTTCCTCCTGCTTTCCCATTCTTCACAGTTGTCCTAAGCTATTCATGGACCTTTATTTCCATATAAATTTCTCAGAGAAGTCCTGCTTTTGATTGGTATATTGAATTTATAGGCTACTTTTGTTAGAAATGAGGTCTTTTATAATGTTAAGTCCTGCCAGCTCTACTTAAGTCTTATTTCACATCCTTTAATAGAGTTTTTTGTTTTTCCTCCAAAATATCTTATACATTCTTTTTTTAAAGTAAATCCCTGAATAGTTTATAGTTTTTCTATACTTTTCTTACTTTTGTAAATGACATTTTCTTTACATTTTCCAGTTGGTGATTGTTGGTATAGAATACTATTGATATTTGTATGTTAACTTTTTATTAGCAACATTTTGTCTTGTTATTTGCTTGTGTTTCCTTTGTAAATGATCACTCACCTGCAAATCATGACAATTTAATCTCTTCTCTTTCAATCCTTCTACCTCATTTCTTTTTCCTGCTTTATTCCTTCAGCCAGGACCTTAAAATCCTTGATGGAGTTGGCTTCCTTGTCTTGTTTGTGACCATGAAGAGAATGTGGCTAAAATTTCTTCATTAACTATGTTTTTTTTTACTGTAGATTTTGGGGTAAATAACCTTTTATAGCATTATTCAACTTAAATTCCTTTCTATCCCTGGTCTGTTCCCAGTCTGCCATCTGCGTGGCTTGAACATTGAGCACCCCCTACCCCCACT